CATCGAGCGATTTTACATATTATAGAGGTGATCCTAGGTTACGTTCCCGGAGTATAAAATATAGTAGACATTACAATTGCCTTATATGGGTAAATGATCTTAAAGAGGTTTAATTTTGTGTTCTCAAGAAGAAAACCAGTAAGGAAAGTAGTAAAGTCGGACTGGGCCGACTATATGATACCCTTCACCACTTTATGTATATTGTAAATATGTATCCTAACAATTCCATGTCAATGTTCCCTCGAACATTCATACCTATGCTAAATTTAATTTCAATCGGGCAGATTTAGCATCGTTTGCGTACAATGGTATAAATTTATGGAAATCGATTTAAAGCAAACTTGAAATACGCTACTGAGTATGCTCATACTCAGTCTCAATCAGACACCCGTTCGAAAATTCGTGGAAATCGAATAATAGATATTAACTTTGGTGCACTATTTACATACAAACCGGACGAAAATATATATGGGAGCTATGTCTAAATCTGAACCGATTTTCACGAAACTTAACATAGAAATTCTAGACTCAATTCAGTGCACTATACCAACTTCGTGCAAATCGAAAGATATATAGGGACTTTGGTGAAGCATTTACATAAAATCGGACGATAAAATATATATGGGAGCTATATCTATATCTGAACAGATTTTCACGAAACTTAACACACATCATTCTGGATTTAAATCAGTACCCCATGCCAAATTTCGTGCAAATCCAAAAATATATGTGGCCCATTTACCTTAAATCGGACAAAAATATATATATGAGCTATATATAAATCGGAACCTATTTTTACGAAACTTAGCACACATCATTCTGCACCTAATTCAGTACCCTATGCCAAATTTCGTGCAAATCGAAAGATATATAGGGACTTTGGTGCCTATATCGGACGAAAATATATATGGGAGTTATATCTAAATCTAAACCGATTTTCACCAATTTCAATAGGGTTCGTCCTTGGGCCAAATAAGTGACTTGTGCCAAATTTCATCCAAATCGGGTCAAAAATGCGACCTGTACTTTGTTTACAATTTAACATCTTCAGACGGACGGACGGACGGACATGCATAAATCGACTCAGAAAGTGATTCTATGCATATTCTCAAAAGGAACCATGTGTCTATCTCGTTTACTTTCGACTGTTAGAAACATATGCACAAAGACATAATACCCTGTACCACAGTGTGGTGAAGGGTATACAAAATAAAATAGATTCATGTTCTGACATAGCATACATATAGAAATTCCCATCCCATATTCGATATTTTTAAAATCCTATTCCCATTCTACAACGTAAGTTTCTGTAATTACACATTTCTTCTTTGAAGACAAAAAAAAAACGTCTTTGTCCTGGAAATGGTCATTGTAGGTCCATATATTAGCATTATCCTCATATAAGAACTTCGGTCGATTTTACTCATTATAAAGGTCCTATGGCATGTTCTCATAGTTATCATATAATAGACCCGATCAACTCTATGCATTATAAAGGCTCTAGGTCTTTTGACGTCGTTCTCAATGTATACCAATTTTTATTCACACCCCCTATATTAATGTCCAGTAAATTTGAGTTATTTTGAAATTTTAGGTATTTTGTAATTCCATACATAATAATGTTGTAAGGGTTATTATAAGATTTAATGATCCTAGACCCTAGACCAAATATTGTTTATAAAGGCGACCTAATAAGAACCTCTCAGAGATATTCTACAGGTATAAAATCGGCATACTATATACAGAGGCCTTCGATAAATAGAAGAAATCAAGAAGAAATTTTTTTCCAAAATTCTTCGAAGAGACCTCCCATAAATAGAAGACCTCTGCGATGACATCAATAGGCAGAAGACCTCATAGAGGGCTTCTATAGCCAGAAAACCACTGGAGGGATTTTTCGATGGTTGTCATAAAAGCTTTCAATGGATCAACAAATTCACAGAGACGTTCTATAGGAAGAGGAACCTCACAGAAGCATTCTACAACTACCAGACCAAAAGACTTCGCAGATATTTCATAGCCCAATAATTCTATATAAAGCCTCCAATCAATAAAATCACTCATTGATTGGAGGCCTTATATAGTATTTTAAAAATGAACCACCTCACGGATTTGTTCTATAAATAGAAACCGGTAATTCATTACGTCCATGCTTTCAATAACATTTAGAAGACCTGCAACAGAACTTCTCTAGATAGAAGATCTCAGAGACGACTTCAATAGACAGATGACATCACAGGGGGTTTTCGATGGGTAGAAAACGTTACTAAAAGACTTGCTATTAACTGAGAAAATCACATAGGCAGCTGGGCTTCGTATATATACCTTACAATTTATACAAATACCTGGACCTAAAAGAGATCTTCTAAAGATAGAAGATCTCACAGAGAGGTTTCAAAAAAAACCTTTTACATGTCCTCAGAGAGGCGTTATATAATCAGTATCGGCTAATTCCTTCCATTATTGCTACCAGAAGCTTCCCTTTGGACAGAAGATGGAAGAAGTCACAGTGGACTTGTATGAATAGAAAAGCTTACAGTGGCCCTCTATAGATAGAAGACTACGCAGGGCTCTTCCACAGACAGATGAACTCACAAAGTACTTTTGTAGATAGAAAGCATCCCAGAGATTACATTGTCCAAACAGTGATTTTGTAGATTGAAGGCCTAATAGAGGCCTTCTCATCGAAGTGTTCTATAAATAGGATCAGTTAATTCGATAAGTCCTTGGTCCCAGAGGCCTTCAATAACAATAAAACCCCGTAGATTGGTTCCTAAGAATCCTCCCATAGATAAAATAACTAACAGACCTGTTTTGTAGATAGAAGACCTCTATAGATTTTAGAGCTCGAAGAGGCTTTAAAAATAGCCCACGACATAAAATCTGCAAAAGTAGTTCGATAAGAAATTTTCAGAGTGAATATAAAAATTACCCTACAAAGGTTTTTTATAGACCTCGTCTATATAAAAACTCCGGGCTTCCGCTCGTCTATGAAAGACTCTATAGAAATACGCCCGTCCATACAAATACCAACGGTTACCGCCCGGTAGCTATAAAAGTCTCCCTGTTCTTCAGATCGTCTATAGAAAGACTACCGGCTTCATCTCTTCTATGGAAATATTGTAGGCTTCAGTAGGTAGACATCCTACTTAATCCCAATTATGAAAGACTCCCTGAGTTTTTTGAAAGACTACCTTCGTTTTTTATTAAGAGACTACCTTTAGACGGAATTAGAGACTACCTTTATCGCCAATAAAGATTAATTTCAGATGGTCTATAGAGACTCCCACCCGAACATCTATGATAAACTTTCTCCAGCTAGTCTATAGATACTTCTATCAGGTCGCATATAGAAACTCCTATAAAGACTTCCGTTCGCTCATCTACAGAAATACTCTCTTCAGAACATCTTTAAGAGACTCCCTTCAGGTCGCATACAAAGTCTATGTTAAGTTTAGATCTTATATGAAAGACTCCCCTAGGATCATTCCTTTTGTCGTCCATAAAGACTCCCTTCAGGGGGAATATAGAGAATACAATTAGTTCGCCGATATAGACTCCCTTTATCTCATCTATATAAAGACTATAATCAGGTCGTCTATGAACAACTCGTGGCTTTAGATGGTCTCTTTTCTGTTCCCCGCTCTGATTGTCACCAGTTTGATCTTTTTTATTTTTTTCGTGGTCCATTCTGAATACCCCTTAAATATGTCATTCTTAATTATCAGCTCGAAGAATGTCTGTATTAAAATCTCCATTATTTTTTGCAATGACTTACAATTTCGGATAATAACCGACACCCTCAACGCACAACAGTTTCCTTGTGCGCCGCACTCTTCTTTAAAAACAAAACTGATTTGGCGGCAAAATACACAACGTGTCTGTCTGTTTGAGTATCTTTTTCCAGTTTATCTTTGAATGTGAATGAATAAATGGAAGATTATGACTCTGAAGTGGAGCACAAGGGTGCGGAGTGTGCGACAAAAGACAGAAAATTAAAAAGTCATCCACATATAAATGTGAAACTATTTAAAAAGCTCTTCTGTTCTCAGTTTCATTATGTTGGGCGCCACATTAAATTTTAAATAGAGGGGGGAAATTTTTTTAATTTAAATCGAGGCGACATAAATACACCAATTTTAATAACTGTAATATCCGGTCCCGGAGATTAACAAAAGAGATTGCAAATTCTTTGAAATTGAGGGGAGGGGAAAGTGGAAGGAGAAATTAATGAAAAAATTAGGGATTAAATAAATTTCCGGTTTAGAAGATATAAAAAGTCTATAGAAGATTAGAGTAAGTTTTCTGCCTATACCAGACCTATGACAGATATTCTGCCAATAGAAGGATGTGGGTGGATGACATTCTAGAAGACATGTGGATGATCTTCTGAGAGGCGTGGATTTTTTTAAAATATTTTTTCAATGGCCATTAATGGCCATTTTTAAAAAATATATTTTTTCAATGACCCTACAAAGGCGTGTATTTCTCAAAAATATTTTTTTTAATGACATAGGCGAGGCTTTTTAAAAATATTTTTTCAATGACTCTACAAAAGCGTTTTTTTTAATGTATATTTTTCTAATGTAAATGGTTCAGATCCTCCCGCATATAGATGAAGGTCTGAAAAGATCAATAGATGCTGTCATATATTTTAATTAATTTTTTTTAAACCGGAAGTTCATTATTATCTGCCGAACACAACACATGCAAGCCCCAATACATTCGGGATAGGCTTGCAACACTGATAAGGGTATTCCCAACCCAATAATCAATTCAAAATTATTTCAAATACAAAGTTTTTATAACAATAGTGTGCTGATGGAATAAAAGCCCATTCGAAATAATTACAAACAAGTGGAGCGGATATTCAATGCAATAGAAAAAAATTGTTTCGAACAATCAAGGTCACAATAACACAATACGAACACCCCTAACTATTTTTATTAATGTCGGAAACCTAATCGATTTTGTTTTTTTTTTTCTCTCTTTCTTTTCAGCTGTCATCAGTGAAATGGGAAAACGAAAAAAATTGAAATCTCGCAATAGCACGACATTACCAGCATCGATTTTGAATAGCAGTATTGGAAGTGGTGGTAGTGGTGGCTATACAAAAGATCATTTGGATGCTTGGCTGGAGACATGCTTGAAAGATGCCTCCGCTACCCAGCTGTCTTCATCATCGGAATTTCTAGATTATAATCCGACGGTAAAGACCAGCACATCTAATTCTGCAAATAATTTAAATCAGAAGAATCTCCTCTCGCAGCAGCAGCAACAATCGCCAGTTTTCAATATGGCAAATATGGGCCAGCAGCAGCAACAACAACAAGCAATGAATTCACCACAACAACAACAATTCGCCATGCGAACATCATCAAATCCCCTTAGCAATAATCTGCCAAATAGTAGTAGTTATAATTTTCCATTCAGTCAAGGGTTTCAGAGGGTAAGTACACAACAACAACAACAACAAAAGGGGAACTTGATTTAAAATTATACTATGGGCCAAGTTTCCTAGCTTACTCCTATCCTATTTATAATAATCTCCATAATTGTTTCTCTTAATATTCTAGCCCATGCCGAACTTTATGAAACCGTCCTCAATGAATGCCTTCAATAATCGTTATTCGATGATATATCCATCCATGACGACCGGTGGTTATTATCCACAAAATGATGGTTCGCAGGACTTTGCCAGTCTACCGCCAATGGTGAATATCATGGGCGGCGGAAGTGGCGGTAATTCATCCGAACATGAAAACAATTCCACAGATGTTTTAGATGGCAGTGCCAGTAATCCGAATATAAGTCGGGGGTAATATAATTATTTTTGAAACTTGAGGAAATAATAATTCTAAATATTTTTTTTAGTTTCAGATTTAGCGACCCCTGTCTATTGAATCCTTCGGATAACGATTCGAAAATGAGTGGTCAAAATACGCCAGATCGTCGTAATAATCTACCCAATGATATGGATCAAAATAATAAATTCTTTAATGTGTTGATGGAACAAATCCAATTGCTGCACGAGACAAATAGTAAAATATGCCGTGATCTGCATGAGGCCAAAGGTAAGTGTGTGGGGAAAATTATTTATTTGTATTCGATGTATTTCATTCATTCACATGCCTCGTTATTTAAAAAAAATCAAAGGATAGATGTATCCGAACTCTAAATTGCTGATATCTTCAGATTCTCTAGGAATAAATTTCAAATTGAACACATATTGCTGGACGTGTATGCAAGAGCTAACTTCAATATCTATAGGTATATATCTCTAGTTTTCAGAAAGTCCTCTTACTAGATAAAATCTCACTATGTTCTCTATATAAAAATATTTTTTCAATGACCCTACATAGGTGTGGATTTTTTTAAAATATTTTTGCAATGACCCTACATAGGTGGATTTTTTTTTAAATATTTTTTTAATGACCCTATATAGTCGTGTTTTTTAAGTATTTTTTTAAGGTCTTTTTTTAGGCGTAGATTTTTAAAAGTATTTTTGAAAGTTTTTCCTTAGGCGTGGATTTTTTTAAAAGTATTTTCGAAAGTTATTCCTTAGGCGTGGATATTTTAAAAGTATTTTTGAAAGTCTTTTCTTAGACGTGGATTTTTTAAAAGTATTTTTTCAATGACCCTACATAGGCGTGGATTTTTTAAAAGTATTTTTTCAATAACCCTACATAGGCGTGGATTTTTTAAAAGTATTTTTTCAATGACCCTACATAGGCGTGGATTTTTTAAAAGTATTTTTTCAATGACCCTACATAGGCGTGGATTTTTTAAAAGTATTTTTTCAATGACCCTACATAGGCGTGGATTTTTTAAAAGTATTTTTTCAATGACCCTACATAGGCGTGGATTTTTTAAAAGTATTTTTTCAATGACCCTACATAGGCGTGGATTTTTTAAAAGTATTTTTTCACGCCTACATAGGCGTGGAATTTTAAAAGTATTTTTTCAATGACCCTACATAGGCGTGGAATTTTAAAAGTATTTTTTCAATGACCCTACATAGGCGTGGATTTTTTAAAAGTATTTTTTCAATGACCCTACATAGGCGTGGATTTTTTAAAAGTATTTTTTCAATGACCCTACATAGGCGTGGATTTTTTAAAAGTATTTTTTCAATGACCCTACATAGGCGTGGGTTTTTTAAAAGTATTTTTTCAATGACCCTACATAGGCGTGGATTTTTTAAAAGTATTTTTTCAATGACCCTACATAGGCGTGGATTTTTTAAAAGTATTTTTTCAATGACCCTACATAGGCGTGGATTTTTTAAAAGTATTTTTTCAATGACCCTACATAGGCGTGGATTTTTTAAAAGTATTTTTTCAATTATTATTATTATTATTATGTCATTGTGCATATGTTTGTTTGTCCATGTGTGTGATGTGTGCTAAGTTTCGTGAACATCGGTTCAGATTTAGATATAGCTCCCATATATATTTTCGTCCGATTTCATGTAAATGGTGCACCAAAGACCCTATATATTCTTCGATTTGCACGAAATTTGGCATAGTGTACTGAATTGAATCTAGAATGATACGTGCTAAGTTTCGTGAAGATCGGTTCAGATTAAGATATAGCTCCCATATATATTTTCGTCCGATTTAAGGTAATAGTTGCCCCAATCCCCCTATATATCTTTCGATTTGCACGAAAGTTGGCACAGCGTACTGAATTAAGTATGGAATGATGTGCGCTAAGTTTCGTGAAAATCGGTTCAGATTTAGATATAGCTCCCATACATATATTCGTCCGATTTAAGGTACATGGTGCCCCAAACCCCCTATATATCTTTCGATTTGCACAAAAGTTGGCACAGCGTACTGAATTAAGCCTAGAATGATGTGCGCTAAGATTCATGAAGATCGGTTCAGATTTAGATATAGCTCCCATATATATTTTCGTCCAATTTAAGGTAAATGGTGCCCCAAACCCCCTATATATCTTTCGATTTGCACGAAAGTTGGCAAAGCGTATTGAATTAAGCCTAGAATGATGTGTGCTAAGTTTCGTGAAAATCAGTTCAGATTTAGATATAGCTCCCAAAGACCCTATATATTCTTCGATTTGCACGAAATTTGGCATAGCGTATTGAAATGAGTCTAGAATGATGTGTGCTAAGTTTTTAGATTTTGATATGGCTCCCATATATATTTTCGTCCGATTTTAGGTAAATGGTGCATCAAACTCCTAATGTACGGATTGATGTTAGTCGGTTCACATATAGATAAAGATCACATTCGGTCAATTTCAATGTTCCCTCGAAGTCCATTAGGATATATATGTAGAATATACCAAAGTGGTGAAGGGTATCATATAGTCAGCCCAGTCCGACTTTACTACTTTGCTTACTGGTTTAAATATGTTTTTAAGGTTCTTCCTTAGGCGGGGATTTTTAAAAATATTTTTTAAGGACTTTCCTTATCTTTAATAGAGTCTTTGTAATTTGTAATATTTATACCTGCGGAATCTGAAAATATCTAAACCATTTTTATTTCTTTTTATATATTTTTGTATCATTCACGTATTTTTTTTAATTTACATGTATTTTTTGTACATACACATTATCCTTTATTTTGTATCTCTTTTTTATATGTATTTGTAATTTTCTATATTTTTACTGTCTTACTATCTCTCTTCTATTGTATTTCTCTCTGACTATTAACTCTCTCTCTCTCTTCATGTAATATCCTTTCTTTATTAAAATATCATTTGTATTCTGTTTTGAATTTATTCTATGTATGTCCTTTGTCGCAAAAATAATTTTGTATTTTTTCTGTTTTTTTGTCTTTTTTCATTTGTTGTTGTTGGTTGCCTTACCATCGCCACCCGATTTTTGTGTTTGGAACATTTGATTTGTTGTTATTTTGTTGGTGTTACGACAACTTTTTAGTTTGTATTGAAGTTTTAAAGCACGCTCCCAATTTGGGTATGAGGCACCGTAGAGATAGCATAAGTGGATTAAGTACCCATAGTCAGCCGATGGTGTTTGGCAGTGGATTTGGAACCCAAAGTCCAGCGCCATCATATCATTCAGGTGCGTTTTGAAATAAAGAGAAAGAAACATTGCTTCGGGGGCTTGTTTTGAGATTTGGTTTTAATTTTTTCCCATTTTTCTTTGGTTCTTGCTGTGATCTCTTTTCAGGTGCCTACACGCCCGGCATAATGACAGATGTGGTACGTGAGGTCAAAGAGGCCGCCCGGGTACGTGAAGATGCCCTCTTGAATCGTGTCAAAGCTTTGGTAGAGGAACGCCAATGGTCTATGAATGAATCCAATTTACGCATGATGAGAGATATTGAAGAGTTGAAGGTAAGTCGAAATTCGGAATAATTGATTAACATGATTTTTAATATCGAAAATCCCCTTTTTGTTTCAGTCACAAGTTCATCATTTACGCTCGGATCGCAAAGAAACCAATAAACGTCTCAATCACCTGGAGGCTGAAAATAAATACATGCGTCAAATGTTGGCTGCCCTCTATCACAATCGCAATTCCGTACCCGATATCATTTATGAAAATGAAACATTACGTCCGCGTAAATCATTTCCCCATACGAGGCGAAGTCATCAACAAGCCATAAATTTACATTATGGCACAGTGCAACAACAATCCCAGACAGGAACATCTTCACTGGATGAACAGGAAGAGGAGCCGTTACATATTGTGGAAACTCCCTCTACAACATCGACGGCAGATATTGCTGCCCTTACAGGTCAACGTCCAGCTGATATGCGTCATTCCTTTTCCAGTTCAGATGGTGGTAGTATTAATGGTGGTGGTGGTGTCGGTGGAACTACAACAACCTCGACTAAAATTTCCGGTCCCATTATGTCTCCACCCAATTTTGCTTTAATTTCCTCGGCCAGTGATGATGTGAAACGTAAAAAGGAAAAACCGGCCAAAAAGGCATCATCCGATGAGTGCGATACCGGTGACATGTTGCCAACCATTACCAATGTATCATCGAATCAGGATTTACGCCGTGAATTAAATGAAGCTGTCATTGCCCGTAAAGAAGCCGATGATCGTATTATAGCGTGGGTTTAAAAGCATTTTTTTCTATTAAATTTTGAATGATTTATTTCCACGTATTCATGTTTGCTTTTGCACTACATCACCATGTATTTGTCAGTCATTGAGATAGAAATTGTGCATATTTAATTAATTGACTTCCACTTTATTTTGTTCTTCATTTTATTGTTAAGAACTTTAATTTTTTACAACTAGTCTAAATTGTTAATTTTTTTGTCACAAATTAGAATTTTTTAAATATTATTTAATTGTCTAATTGGCTTAGAGTTTTGTAGATTTATATTTTGAATTTTTTATATATACATATTTATATTTGAGTTTTTGTAAAACATTTGCAAACCATATTTGACCCTCCTTCATTCGATTTTGATATATAAATTGCAAATATCCCTAGAACCTTTAATTATGAACTGTGTCATATTGTTCCAGGCTTCAGTATATACTTCTTAAATTGATTTCTTCCGATTTGAGGTATATTCTTCTAATTTTTAGAAGAAGAAACTCACCTTCTGAAATCTTCTACCCGTATTCGAATGTTTGAACGTTTACTATCATTTCAATTTTCGTTTTAATACAATAAACACTTGACTGCCTCTCTGCTTACATTAATCACTCATATAAATCAGAAGAAAAAGTTACCCAACATCGATCACATTTCTGGGAGGATATAATGCCGCATATGGGCTGTTCCTTCGTTGAAAGATGAGGAGTTGATTTCGTTGGAGTTTTTAGCACGGATAATATACTTCTGAGCAAGTCATCTCAGTCGAGGTCATGATAGAAGGCATTTTACAACTCAGGGTAGGTTAACAGACTAGGTCTATAGAAAAATACCAATGGAGGTATCATTGAACAACCTATTTTCAAACCATTATAGCACAAGTTGTAAATAAATGTTGTCGAAGATTCTGCGATCTTTGTGTAGATAATTTCCCTACCAAAAATTATAACTATTGGTGATCTTTTTAGGTTAGCCGACATATAAGGGTACCTCCAAAGTTCGATATATTAGGGACTTTGCACACGTTTCATCCATCATTTAATATTTTGTATGATGGTCAATATCTCCCCCACAATATGGTCAATATTGTGCAAAAAAATATTTTATAATAACATTCAAATGGACTATCCGATTTTAACGAAGATCTGTCTCATTGGCCCACTCCTTCTGGTACTTTCCCAACAAGTGGTTAACATTTTCAATATTTATAACTTCAATATCAGGCGAAGGGAATGTCCGATTTGATCTAAACTTTGCACAACCTATTATTTCTACCAAGCCCATATCAAGTCCAATGGTGGGACCCGTATGCCCTCTCCTTATAGTACCTCCCCCAAAAATGGGTCAAAATTTTCAATATTTATATACCTATCAAATATCAGACGAATGGAATGTCGGATTTGAACCAAATTTTGCACAACCTATTATCTTTACTAATTTTAGATCAATTCCAAAGATGGGACCCATTCCACTCGTTCTCCATTTTATGAAATGTCTGAGCCGAAATCTTCTACCCACCGAAAATTTTTGCCATCATTTGTTTGAGTTTAAAATCACTTCGATATGCATCGCAGCTTGTGACTTAGACGGCACTCCTCGATTTGTGAACTATTGTCAGAAGTTAAACTGACTTGATATCTCGTTTGTCATACATGTCTTCAATTCGATTGACCTAATACTTACTTACTAAATACTTACATACTATGACAGAACGGTTGTTCCATAAGCCGAGCTTAAAAAAGATTTCCAGGCCCGTCGGTCTTGTGTGCATCTCATCCAAATTGAAAGACCATTTTCCGAGATGTTGTCCTTCCCCTTCTGCGTGAACCATCACTGGGCTCGCTTTTATATGCCTTTTGAGCTGGGGCATCTTCATCCATTCTCACAAGATAGCCTAGCCAACGTAGTCGCTGCAGATCGATCCGTCTGACAATGTCGATGTCCGGAATAGATGGTATACCTCATGGTTCATTCGACGGCGATATACAGAGTGCCATTTCTCTTCACATTTGCATCTCGTATGACCTTTTCAAGCAGGATGTTGAACAGGTCACACGACAAATTGTCACCTTGTCTGAATCCTCATTCGGTATTGAAGGGCTCCGAGAGGTCCTTTCCTGCTTTAACTGCTGACATTGTACCAGTTAAAGTTATCCTACATAGCCGTATTAATTTTGCAGAAATGCCGAACGTAGACATGGCTTTAAACACCTCTGAAAATACGTTTCTACTCTCTCCTCTTCGCCCGATAAATCTCCATCGCATTACGTGTTGCTACTGTCTGACCTAATATTAATATTATTAAAAACGTAAGTTGTGGACCTAGAAAAATATTCCTTTAAAAATGGAAACATATGCCTTCGCCAGGTCTTTGAGAAGACGATTTCAAAAATCTGCAATTTTTTTGCCAGGCCTTAAAAAATATTTTCTTTTAAAAATGTTATGTATTTACAAGACCTGGTGAAAATTCAAAAACCCTACACCTGAAAAAATCTGCACTCATGGATATTTCTAGAAAAAGATACCCTTACGTCTTACCAAGACCTGAGAAAATATTTTTCAAAAGTCCTGGATAAAATATTCTTTTTAATCGATGCTCATAGCATGAACTACGACCAGGGATGGTCCGTGTGACGAATTTTTAGGTTTTCGACTGTCAAAAAGGTGAAAACGTCGAAAACGTCATATACCTGTATAATTTATTTCAATATTATCATCATATACAGTTATTTTCAAGAATATATATTATTTTTACATATATCTGACTATTCCTTACTAGAAATGATAAAAATTTCTAATTTTTTTGAGAAGAACATTTTGAAATTTTATATTAATTTGAGTAAAGCATGCGTAATTTCCAAATTGATTAATGGAAAAGCTATTTTGTCAAAAACCTAATGGATTTGGGTAGGTTTCCGACGTTTCTGACGTATGTATTATACGTCGGAAATGTATGTAATTTACGTCACTGTTTCTGACAGGCCATCCCTGACTACGACCTGGAAAATCCTCCCACATACCTTTACCTGTCCTTAAAATTCTAATAATTTCTAAATGGACCGAACTCTTTATACTCTCCACCATGCGTAAAATACTTAAAATTTATTGATATTTTGGTTGGAGATTTCCATCGTATCCTTAAAATGAAACGGAACATTTATATATAAGTTTCTACTTCTATTAAATTTTTTTCTGCCAAAAAGAATTTTGTTCCGAAATATTTAATTCCAATGAAGAACAAGGTGTTGAGGGTAGTGGAAAATTTCTTATGGTAATAAAATCCCTTGGAGATTCGGAATAGATTTTTTTCGATTTTTTTTTTTTTTTTTTTTTTGGCAATTAAAAACTTTAAATGTTTGTTTGCTGCCACTGCAGGTTATTTTTGAGATCAAATAAAATGAGATATATTTTGTAATACAACTCCTCGCTCTATACCGAGTCCTCGAGCGACTTCTTGAGCCTAATATCAAAAGACGAAGTTTTATGCACTTCAAATATTCCACAAATATGTTGCTCTTACAATTGTAGGTAGGATCCTCAAGGACAAGAAATCCATATTCGTATGTTTTCATCGCCCTTTTTCAATTTTACACGCCCCTATGAATGCATACTAATAAATTCAAAGCTCGGACTTAAATTCTCTTGATCTTTGCCAAAGGTCGCATTTGTCCACGCAGTCTGAGCCTAACGGTATTAACCTAATATTCAAAGGAAACAAAACCGAATTACCAATATCTATATCATCAACGTGTTTGTTTTATTTGAAAATGTTTTCAATAAAAACTCAAATATAGTAAATATTTATCGCTTTATATTTAGTTTAAAAATTAAATACATCTATTACAAGCGTAACATTACTACAACACTAGTTATTGTTGTATTCAGATATTATATATATCACTACCAAAGTCATAATCCCCATTTTTACATTATTATTATTTTTTATTTTTAATAATATTCTTACAATAATTGGCATTAATTATTTAATGTAATTCTAACCTATAAATTAGAAAGTAAATAAATTGTTAATTAATTTGTATTAGCACCCTTAGTATTCGTAGTAGTAACTTCTATAAATTGTTGAAATTTACCATCCACAATATCACCATCTATCCATTAGCAATATCCACCCACCCATCTACCCCCATTACATTTGACACATAACCTCAATTTAATGTTTTGTTTAAATTCACAAACCACTTGTGCGTGTGTGTGTGTTTTAACTGACCATAGAATTATTTCTTCTTCTTCTTTTTATATGTGTGTTCGTTGCCTCTTTTGGGATCTCAATGTTTAGACTTGAGAAATTGGTTAAAACTCTACAAGTAAATGCAACTCATCCCCCATCCTCCATGGCTAACAGTAATAACCACCATAATACCACCACGAACTCCACCACAACCACAGAAAGTAAAACACAGCAAAAATCGCCACAGCAACAGCATCATGTAGCTAATGGTGAGGGTGGAAGTGTTCCTAATAAAAGTAAAACTAATAGTTCGGGAATAACAACGGGTGCAGCTCCACATAGTAAACCCACTAGACGTAGCACAACAGCATCAACGGCTGCGGCCCATAAAAGTAAATGGTCATCATCGACGTCAACGACAACAACAACAGCACATCATCCCCATACCTCTCATCATCATCAGAGTGCCACAACAGTGCATAGTTCACCGGTGAAATTAAGTGTCGCTGGTCCCATCACCGATTTATAGTGCGAACCACAACCAATGACACCGGTAATGGTGCGTAAACCACCCCGACGCAAGAGATCGGGTGTACGAATATCACATTTTTGAAGTAAAACAAAAATTAAAATTTAAAAATAGGTGGCCAAAAAAAAAAACACAATTTCCAAAATTTAGACACAACAAACACACTCACGATTAAACGTAAGCAACGAAGCAACGAACAAAACAGAACACATAACCTAAAAATATAAAACAAAAAATATGTTTGTGTTTAAAAACAAATAATAATATAACATTTAAAAAAGTGTTTATAATATATTTATGTATTTATATGTTATTTTACATATTATCAATTTGTAGTTTGTTTATTTTTAATTAAAATTTTTGTTTTAACTTTTTTTGTATTTTTTGTCACTTAATTTATGGAACTGTGTAAATATTGATATAGAGTATTTTTTTTCAATCTTACTATACTAGTAGTACTATTATGTATTGTAACCTCAGATATTTTCTTATATGGGATATACTTTTATTTAAATACTTCACAGAGAAATAATATACATTAGAAATCGCTTATAACGACGACCAATAAAAAAAAATATTGTATACAAAATATTGTATACAAATTTTTGAAATAGACCAAAATTTCCTGAAAAAAAAATATGTTTTCTAAAATCATGGCTTTGCAAGACATGAGAAAAAAATTCAATAGTCGGTATAAATATTTGACGCTGTATAAATATTAGACTTACGGTCTTGCTAGACCTAGAGAGCCGAACTTTTTATATATTCCCCTTTGAAGTGGACATTCAATATACTAATCAATGATTCGGACTTTTGTAAGGGGCTATGACAGCCGAATGGGTTGGAAATGTGGGGGTACCGTTATATTAGGGGGCTAACGAAACCGTGGACCGATATTAACAATGAATCCAATGGGAACCGAAAATATCGAAATAAAAACAATTTGATTTGAAAAATTTGCCTAAAATATCGAATAATAAGGGCTACTGTTATATGGAGTATACCCGGAAATTGGACCAATATTATATATTAAACAAAAATTTACCTTTCGTTCGTCCTGCGATGAATTCAAAAATTTCAAGACCTAAAAAATGATTCTCTCAAAACTCAAAAAAAAAAAAACTAAAAAATATAAACAAATTTTCTTTTTTTTTAATTCCTTGACGTGGAAAAAATATTCTTTCTAAAATCAAGATCTGATAAATATTCGAAGCCTTACTCCCGTGATAGACGAACTTTTAATATCCTCCACTGGGAGATGGACATTCAATATTTAAAAAAAAATAATCGGGACCTATGTCATGGTAATGCAGTCGAGAGTGTAGCCCCCCGTTATATGGGGGCTAACCAAAGTGTGTACTGATATCGATCAAAACATTTGACATCCGCGTTTGTCGCGTTTTCCTATCAAATGGCTGCAATTTGGTATACCATCTTCTTAGAGGGAACGCAATATTTTTCAGAAATTATTCTATATAAGCCCAGATTGTGACATACCGTATTATTTTTGGTTCGCCCTGAAAAAATATTCTTCAAATGTACGCCGCCTGTTATAGTCATTGAAAAATATTCTTAAACAAAACCACCCGCCTGTTATATAGTCCTTGAAAAATATACTTAAAAAAATCGACCCCTTTAATGGTCCTTGAAAAAGTGGGTGTCAAATTGCGTACGAAAAAACGGCATCCCAGAAAATATTCAGGGCAGGTCAATGTTTATAGCCTGAGCCTTATGGCTATTGAGGGTATATACACTTTGTTACGACAAAAAATTAGCCTTATCGAAATATTGGTATTGGTATAGACCGCATGTTTTTTTAAACTAATTCCGTTTCAGACAAATGTCCGTCCGACTATCTAATGACAACTGTCGCAGGGAGCAACCCATTTTATCCAAACATTGCACATCGTAATATTTCTTTCAAACTGAGTTTAAGTTCGAAGTTGGAACCCACCGGTCCACTTCTTCCGGTACCTACCCCACAAAATGATCAAAATTGTGTTCAACCGTCATATGGGGGTCTATCCTTAAAGTTCCGTCAATTTCGATAATTTTTGTTAGGGAGATTTTTCTATCCAATCCAAAATATGACATTACCGTCAATTTTGGGTAATTACCATATAATGGGGTTTACCCTGGGCCAATTTTGATAATTTTTCATTGTGAGAAGGTATAAAAAGTATTTCTGTTACTGGCTGAGATAAATTTTTAAAAGCCTTCACTATGAAATGACCCTCAAATCGGTCCACACTTAATGTTAAAAATTCTTTGTCAGGAGGTTAAATATCCATTAAGAAAGCGTAATATCAAATTATACACACACTAAGGTTGGAAATTATGATCGAGGGTATTAAAAGTATTTCGGGCTAAGCTGAGAACTTTTCTAGCCTTCACTATGAAATGGCTCTCAAATCCATTCACATTAAATGTGAGAAAATCTTTGTCAGGAGGTTTCTTATCCATTCAGAAACCGACATATCAAATTACACAGACTCAATGGATCGGAAACTTTTATGGTCAAGGCAATGACACGTTGATGTTTCGACATAACCTCAATATGAAGATTCCCATTAATTTTAGATATTTGAAAGGATCGTGGTTCATTTTTTAATGGATGTTGACCAATTGTCAATTCTATTTTAAAGAATCCATGTTTTGAAATTTTGAATTTTTCTCAAATGTTTAAAACCTCCTGGTAAATATCCTCGTTTAGATATAACAGCCATATACCGGACTTTAAATCTTTTCAAGTACTTTTAAAGGTTCTAAGCGCATTTTACAACAAAATTGACTGTAATTTAGCATTTCCATCTTCAAAAAACTCATAACCGATAGATTTCAATTAAGGACCATATTTTAACATAACCTCAATATAAGGGTCCCGAACGATTTTAGATATTTTAATAGCCTAGCCTCATTTCTCAAATGAAAATATTGTAATTTCGCATTTCGGTGTCAGAGGGGATAAAAAAACTAATAGTAAAAAATCGTTAAGGTAGATCCATTGTTCAGTATAATCTCCATATAATGATCCCGCACCACTATACTTAATTTGAAGTTACTTGTATTATTCTCTCACGATAGGTTTGTAATTCGGCATTTTAGTTTCTCAAATTGGTGGCATTATTCGCTGAGGGGTAAGGCAGGGAAGACTATAGTTTCGGATCTCGCCAATGATCCTCATCAGTTCCCTTAGTTTTTTTTTTTTTTTTTTGTTAGGATATTCTCCCCAGAAGCTATTAATAGCTTCTTTACAAAAAAAAAAAACTTTCATACCCAAATGTCTCTTGTAACAAATCGAAGTTCTTACGTTACCAGCGATACGACCTCAATGAGAAGTTCGTTGGCGTCTGACTTCGTGGTAAACAAGGCATTTGCAGAACAACATTTCCCACTGATAATAAGCATTTCTCCATTCCCACGAAATAAGCATTTCTCCATTTCATATAGGAAAAAATATCCATATCCTAAAAATTTTAGGCCCATTGAAATTCCTAACCTCAATTTCTAATTGAAGTGACATAATTTGAAACTTAGCGACCCCTCAAAATGGTATATTGAAAGTTCTGGTTTCATTTTCTAACAAAAGTGAAACGTTCCTCCCAGAATTATATAGTTCAAATGTATTTGGATATTTGGTAACGCAGGTGGAAAGAATCTTGCGTATTTATGCATACTCTGCAATTTTTTACTACAACATTTTTTACTCCCATTTTTCCAAATTATTCAAAATTTATATTTTATAATTATTTTACTGACCATATATGGACCGTAAAATTCCCATTGATTCATTATTTACACAGTTCTTTGAATAAATACGATATGTGTATAATTTACTTAATTTTTTTTTTTTTTTTTTGTTCTTTTCAATATTTGTTGTTGGAAAATGTTAACTAAAAATAATAACAACAACAACGTAACGTACATAATCAAAATGTTTCTAATATATTCCTTAAAACAAATTATTTACAATAGTATAACAACTATATGCGAATATAAAAACCTATACAGACATCAAACTAAAAAAAAAACTAAATAAATTAATGTAATAATAAGGGGCAAACGTAATAGAGGAGGAATTATATAGCTTGCCTTGAAGCTAATTTCGCCATTCAAAGCTGCGAATAAAACTGAAATTCTTCGGGCCCCCTCTTAATTACACTATTGAAAATTATTATTACAAAAAAATAAATAAATACACCAGTAGCCAGTACATATAAGGGTAATTAATATACAAATTTTTAATATTACAAAACATATAAATATAATTATTATATCAATCGAATATATATATAGAAATGGTTATAAACTTTTCATCGGAAATTCGAGTTTTATTAAATGTTTATATAGAAATCTACAAAATAATTTGTTATTTTATGAATATAGCTATAGAATATAAGATATAGAATATAATCATATAAGATATAATGATCGTGTAGAAGACACAATTTTTATACATACAATGTGTGTTTTTTTTTAGTTTATAGTCTTAATAATATTTCAACCACAAAAATAATATATATCCCATTGTATGTATTAATATATGAAATATATTTTTAAGTGCCATTTCATTAAAAAAACAAACAAACGAGTATATAAAATATAAATCAAAATAAATATTTTCATTTTAACATAAAATAAAATTGATTAGTTTATTAGTTTATTTATCAAAGGTCTAGTATAAATCAGCACTTTTAAAAATTTCAGTTATAAGCATCGAATCCATAACAGGATTTCATTGATATGCCTGGAACGCCTAAAGCCAACCATTGCAACGGGACATAGAGCCCTTAAAATATCTTTTAAAAAAATCCACGCCTTGTATAGAGCCCTTAAAATATCTTTTAAAAAAATCCACGCCTTGTATAGAGCCCTTAAAATATCTTTTAAAAAAATCCACGCCTTGTATAGAGCCCTTAAAATATCTTTTAAAAAAATCCACGCCTTGTATAGAGCCCTTAAAATATCTTTTAAAAAAATCCACGCCTTGTATAGAGCCCTTAAAATATCTTTTAAAAAATCCACGCCTTGTATAGAGCCCTTAAAATATCTTTTAAAAAAATCCACGCCTTGTATAGAGCCCTTAAAATATCTTTTAAAAAATCCACGCCTTGTATAGAGCCCTTAAAATATCTTTTAAAAAATCCACGCCTTGTATAGAGCCCTTAAAATATCTTTTAAAAAATCCACGCCTTGTATAGAGCCCTTAAAATATCTTTTAAAAAATCCACGCCTTGTATAGAGCCCTTAAAATATCTTTTAAAAAATCCACGCCTTGTATAGAGCCCTTAAAATATCTTTTAAAAAATCCACGCCTTGTATAGAGCCCTTAAAATATCTTTTAAAAAATCCACGCCTTGTATAGAGCCCTTAAAATATCTTTTAAAAAATCCACGCCTTGTAAAGAGCCCTTAAAAAAATCTTTTAAAAAATCCACGCCTTGTATACAGCCCTTAAAAAAAATCTTTTAAAAAAACCACGCCTTGTATAGAGCCCTTAAAATATCTTTTAAAAAACCACGCCTTGTATAGAGCCCTTAAAATATCTTTTAAACCAGTGAGCGGAGCAGTATAGTCGGACGGGGCCGACCATACGATACCCTACACAACTACCACGAACTCTAACTTTCTGAGGATGTTTATTCCGAGTCTGAGTAATATTTCGTGATATTTGCCCCCTCCTGTCCGATTAGAGGTCAACAACACCTCTTCCTTACTTTTTTCGAATATTTAGTACAGTCCTTCTAATTACTTGTCCAGATTACCTTCACGGTGGGTTGTGTTGTGATTTTCGGATTATACTCGACTCGAAAACACACAAAAAATTATGTTTTCGGTCCATTTCATCCCAAAATTTTAATTAGATCATCACCGAAAATTGTAGGCGTTGTTCTTGACCATAACTGGAACTTCATGAAAAATTTCAAAGCCATCAGCGCGATATTTCCCCCTCTAATGTGGTAATGGGTTACTAAATAATATCTGAATACGTAAGCACCTGTAAATATTTGACTGTAACTCCCACATCTGAGTAGATACATCACTATATTTGGTGTCAATTTAAAGGCCAACCACTCCTCTTGGATATGCTATCACCTCCTGGGGTCTACATCCTCCAGGAGTAAATATATATGCCATAGAATACAAATTTTGTCATTTTTCACACAAAAGTCAGGGTCCATTTGACCCGCTAAATATTGACCGATCTTTATCAAAACATGCATGCTTATTCTCTGGCCCGATCCCCTTCTCAATGCAAAAATTCGCGGTGTTTGGGCCATAATTGCGGTCTCTGGAGCGACCAGAAAAACCGACAAAAATAATGTTTTTGGTCCATTTCATCCCCTAAATATTAACCGATCTTTTCCAAAAACAATAGGGGTCTTCATTGGCCAGAACCCATCCTACATGCAAAATTTCGTGAAGATTGGTCCATAACTGCTAGTCAGCTAGTCGAGATATGACGATCGGTATACTTAAAGGTGGGTCTAGGACCAATATTTCGCGGCGTTACAAACATTTGGGGCTGCACAAAGCTATAATACCCTGACAACATAGTTGTGTTGGGTATAGAAATGCATGCCTTGTATAGAGCCCTTAAAATACATTATATACATTTATGTTTCATTCTACAGGATTTGGACTTCTTGTTTCTGAATTCCAAATATGACTCATATATAAGACGTTATGTCGCTAAACATGTCATTCTTCTTCCTTCTGGGATTCGAGAGTGACCTAACCGGCGCCCACAAACTTTTTGTTCCGGCTCCAATGTTGCAATGCTTCAGCCACTTTTTTTCGTTTGTGCTCGTATGCAAATTTGTTGACTTCAAGGATGAGTTCTTTCACTATCTTACTTCGGATATACGACCAGCAGATACATAGCAGGCGGCTGCAGACATGCTGATGTCTCGGAAATTCCTTTCAGCTATCCGAAGATTTGAGTGTATGGACAGCTCTCTGAAGCGGCGATTGGTAAAATCTCTGAAACCATTTACCATGGTTCTGAAAAGTTCGGTGTTCAGAGGTAAATCGGTTGGTCTATTTAGGGAGACGATAATGGCGTGGTGGTCTTAACCAACACAAATGACAGACTGACATACAACGTCATTTATCAGACCCGAGAATTTGTGATGTCCGGTAAACTCCAATTTCAAGCGGGCATATTCAATCACCATTCAAAATGTGGAGCTGTCAATTAGCTCTCTCAGCGATGTACTCCTCTGCTCATTACCTAGGACGGAATGCCAAAATGTATGATGGGCATTAAAATCTCACAGCTCTCATTTTTCCCTCCAAAGTGAACAAATGTCGGGTAAATAACGCGGATTACACCTATTAAACGGCGGAATGTACTCGATAAGCACCTTTATCTCGGCAGTTTCACATTTGACTGATACCCCCATACACTCCTTGTATGAGTCACTAGAATATATCTCAGGCGAGATAGGTCTGTACTGTGCATAGTCCAGAAATACAATGTGATGATGCAATTACGTTCTATAGTGGATCGTAGGGAGATAAGTTTTATGTAAGGTATTTTTGCATGGCTATCGGTAAAATGTGATGTGCAAACATGTTTACTATAATTGCACAATTTATGGGCATTTTTAATAGCTCTAATAAAATTTAGCTGATGTCACAGCTAAAAATACCACCAAAAATACCTATATTTTGATTTAATGGGAAAAAATCGGATGCGCATCAAATCATTTCGAAGATTACTCTGTTTTTGTGCCCATTATTAAAAATATAGAATACTATTTTTTTAATATCATTTGCGTCTTTAAATTCGGTTTCACAACATGATGTTATGGTCAATATGATATAGATTTTAGGTGATATTCTTGACGTAGGAAAAATTTATTTTTTTTTTTTTCAATTGTTCTCATATTTGTTGATTTTCCCTGAAATCAAGTATGTACATATATTTTGAATAGATTAATGGTGAAATTTCAAATTATTGTATTTACATTGGGTCCTTTGCTTTCTTGTTTTTATATTGCGATCCAGAACGTTGTTGATTTTTACATAAAGATTTTTATTTCATTCACATACACAGTATGCAAAAGCAGTATAATTATTAAATTATTTACGATTTTATACACAAACATCTAAACATGCATTTTCTTCTTTTTGAAAGACGGCTTATGACACAATTCCATAACCTCACTATTTTCTCTTTTCTCGGGTGTATCCTTAGTTTTTGGTGCCGCAGGGCAAATTCTACAATTCAAACACTCCAGACATTTAGGTCGTTGAGGGGTACACACGGTTTGACCAAAACCCACCAATAAATAATTAACTTCATTCCAAAGTTCACGGGGTAACCATTTCTCTAGGGCTTTTCGTGTATCTTCCGGTTCTTTGGTGGGTTTCGGTACCCAACGCAAACGATTAGATATGCGATGAACATGAACATCAACACCAATACCCGTGGTAATATCCCATGCTGTTGACATACAAATATGTGCCATTTTTGGACCAACACCCGGCAACGATACAAGTTCTTTTATGTTGTCCGGTATATCGGAATTGTATTTTTCTATTAGAATTTTCGATGTTTGTTGTAGGTATTTTGCTTTGTTCTGTAAGTAAGGATTGTTTTATTTTTAAAAATGTAATTAATGTTGTTGTGAGGAGCTCACCTTATAAAATGACACGGGATGTAATATATTTTCCAAAACATTCAATTTCATTTCACATATCGACTCGGGAGTCAATGTGTGTTCTCTCAAGCGCAGCATGGCATGATAGGTGGTATCATCTTTAGTTTGACTGGATAACATTAAGGCAACCAATTTATGAAAACGTTGAGTCTGTAAATATTATTGAAGTTATGTTAAATTCCCCAATGTAAATATGGACTTAATGGTCTCAAATTTTATCGTAGTATTTTCAGTATTATTCGTCATAGCAATTACCCACGAGGCGAAGAATATAATAAATTTATTATTCCATTTGCAAGGCCTCGAAATGTCGAAATTTTGCACATAACCTGCTACTAATCCTTAGACGATTGGTATTAGAAATCGGTATATGCTGCATTTTTCCATATTTTTTTAGACACATTGTTAAAGGAAGTGGCTGTGCAATCCGGATTTATGTACCCACCATTGGTAAGATGTGAGGCGACACTGTCTGGAGCAAATTTACGTGCGAATGGTCCACACCGGCCAATAACCTACCTATCTACACCCAATTTCAATTCCAATATCAAATACTTGTAATATCCCATCTTAGCGACAAGACCGCCTTTCTTTTCATATAAGGTGAGGATCCTCTATTTCCTCATCTGAAGTCCGTCGTTCTGCTTTTTAGCCAACCTCAGCGTTTTCTCCAGTCCCATTACTGAGATCACCATCCAGCAGATTTGTTTTTTCCTCAAAGGGAGGAATTCTATCTATTAAAAAGTCTCTCGCAATGTCAGATTGTTCCGAGAGCATATCCGAATGAATTTGAGATTCCTCTTAATCAGAAGTATTTTTTGTAGGTTATAGAGTCCCTTTCCCATTCGATAAACCGGTTGCAGAAGATAACAGCTCTCCTGTAAATTCAATTCGAACATCGAATACTTATAACAACCCATCTTAGCGACAAGACCGCCATTCTTTTCAAATGAGGTGAGGATCCTCTATTTCCTCATCTGAAGTCCATCGTTCTGCTTTTTAACCAACTTCAGCGTTTTCTCCAGTCGATGGTGGGATCCACAGTGAGATCGCCATCCACTCGGAATCTCGTGGACCCTTTCCTCAGAGGGAAGTCCATGCTGTAGGAATTCAATCTATTAAAAAGTCCCTCGCAATGTCAGATCGTTCCGTGAGAACTTCCAAATGTCGTGGAATTTCGTGTTTCCTTGTGCTGGCGATTCATCCATCGCTTTTATGGGGAGTCATCAGCACCAGTCTCTAAAAACATTTTCATTTTGGATGAGAAAATTTTTGTTGAGTGAGGACTTGAGGTCAGCCATGGCATAGACCCTTACCATGGTAAGGACTCCGCAACTAAGATCGAAGAACGTGTTGAGGCGCTCAGATATCAAGGTCCTTCCGAGTCTGGGCCCTGAGTGCAAATCAAAAAAAAAAAAAACTTAGGGAGGATATTGGATATTTGAATGCGCCATTCTCGCCACGTCTGTCCTGGAGCATAGGAACTCGGCCATTTTCTCCGAGACTATCCCCCAGGACCCGCTGATTGTCCGCGACGTTTTATTTATGTTCAGCTACCCAATGAATAATATTGGGCTTTCCGCTATCCGCAACCTGTGGAGGCGTCCGTTAGTTTTCTGCTCTGCTCTCGGTAGGCGAGGCTAATACTCTGAGCCCAACGTGGGAAATTAAGTCTCATCTCGAGTATTTGAAAGAGTAAGAATAAATCTAGCTGTAGCAACTGTAATGAAGTCATGCACTGTACAGTTATGGTAATACTGATTTCATTTGAGGCCAAATATTGCTTCATTTAGTCCAAAAAAATCAAATATCATCAAAAAATTACCTTCTCATCGGCATTTTCATCAGCACACTTGTGACAACCCATCGTATCGACAGGCGCTTTCTCTTTGGAACGCATTATACGTATATTTTCCAAAAGTTTTTGCCAATTTTCTGGTTGCCATTTGTCGATAATATCCTCATCGATTTGAACTTCATTCTTCAATGGACTTTCCGGTGGTTTTTTCTTTGGTGATTTTTTCTTTTTCAGATTTGTATCATTTTCTATTACGTTTATGGATAATGGTATAGAATCGCTTGTTTCTGGTTTAATTACACTTTTATCATCAGTAACTTCAACCTCCTTTTTCTTGATACTTTTCTTTATCGATTTTTGGTTAGTTTCTTTTGTTTCCAACTTAGTAGAGGTAGAGGGCAGTTCTTCATCATGTTCAATTTTGATTACACATTTTGAAGAACTTGATAGAATTTCCAACGGACCATTCTGCGTTTCATCTTTAATAAAATTCTTGTTTCTGGTTATTCTTCGGGGCTTTTTAGTTTCTACTTTTAATTCTTCTTTTGGTTTTATTTTTACATTATTAGACAATTTCGCTTCTTCTGTATCTTTTAGATCCTTTTTGGTTTTAGTCGATCCTCTTAGATTTGATTTTGTGTTAGTATTAATTTGGGAGAAAAGGTTTGGATTTGTTTCCTGTAATAAGAAATGAATAGATTAATAACAGGCAAAGAAGCACCTCTAAATTAATGATTTTAATAAAATACAAAAACCGGATTTCAGAACATTTGTTGTAAGGGTATATAATAAGTTTATGTGGGCTCAAAAGTTTGTAATGCCGCGAAATATAGGTCCTACACCCACATTTTGCATGTAGGTTAAGGGCCAAATTCGGCTTGGCTCGGAATACAACAGTTCCGCTGAAAGTTAGAGTTCCGTGGTAGTTGGTAGGGTATAATATGGTCGGCCCAAGGTTTTTAAATAAAATTATTGTATCAAACCTTTGTTGTGGTCAGTACAGTGAAATTCATCGCACATGAGTGAAGTTTATACTTCCTGAGCAATTTGTCCTTCGATGTTCGGGAATGGTTTGTAATACATTAGTGTTACTACTCCCCCTAGGGCAAAAAAGATTCCCATAATCTGATCTTTATTTACTCGAGGTTTGCACATGCAATTTTTGTAAGTAACTCTTCAGACTTCTTAGGAGAGAGAGAATTTCTCTCAAATATAAAATAACTTACCTCTTGTCGGGCTACCGGTACCTTCTTTGCGGTGGCACTTAGCTTTTTGGCTAATGTTAGTTTAGATTTTCCTTCGGTCGTACTCATATTTCTTAACATCAATGTGATTGCCTTTCGAAACATAAATACAAAGCCAATTGCTAATTAGATTCTAATATTCCGCAGCAGTACAGTACATTTAAGATCAATGTATTCAATCAATTCCAACCAATTTGTCAAAATCGTACGATCTGTGTTGAGGGCGTTGCGATTTGATTTGTGCTTTTTATGCGCCTTTAGCCAGAATTAAAAAAATACTCCAAACGCCGCGCCTTGGGGATACAGGTTAGAATGGCCGATGAATCCTGACCGAAAATAAAATTGAATTGATTGTTTACGAATGAATGTGAAGCATAACGCCGATGTCATGTTTGGAAATAGGGACTTAAAAGAAAGGACCAAAATGGTATTGGAACACTGGGAAACGTTGTGAATTGAAATTTGTTAGGGTTCTCTAAGTCGATTTTGGAGTGCAGTTTCCCAAACGGTACATTAACAATCATGGTACAATTATAAAAGGTAACAGCAAATCCCAGCTGATTTGATTCAAACGTAATACTAGTGTCAATATGAATTTGACAAATTATGTTTTTAAAAATCACCCAACAGGAAAATTGGGAACGCATACAATTTGAAATTGTTCTTTATTAATGTGCTTCCGTATTCAATTTACTCAATCTGCCTGCTGGGAAAGTTTGAGGAAGCAAATCTTTCTTGAAGGAATAACTCGCTATTCCCAGCATTTTCATACGTGTTACACATATATATGGCAATGGCTCAATTAATGGAAAGATGTGGAAGCGATAGAAATATAAATTTGATAGATTTTCATTCATGTTTTTCAATTTTTATTTTGAGGATTCGAAAATATTTCATTTTCAAAATAAAAATAATTTGATGATAATTTGTTTGTTTGTTTACATTTTTCTGTCAAATGAGTTGACACTAGTAGAACTTACAACAACAAATTTCCATGTGGTTGTTGTATCGTTTTTTGTACAACAACATTTGCTGTTACCTTTTATTATTATACCATGATTAACAATGTAGATGTATGGCACAAGAAATATATTTAATAGCACATTTACACACGCACTCATGGCATAATTACAGAAGGTAGTCTCTTTTGAGAATTTTATGATGGCAACCCTTTTTAATTTGGAACTCATCTGTCAATTTTAAATAATATGAAAAACAAATTCCATAAAATTGTATGTATGTCGATTGGCATATTTTCAATAAATTAAACAAAATATATTTTCTAAAGCTGAACATTGATCTCAAGATTTAACAATAGTTGTTACATCTTATATTTATAAGTTTTAGAGGCAGGGAACATCAAATATTTATAAATATTGTTACGTTCTAGGACTTTACTTATTCCCGTGTAGACGTTGTTTTATTTCCCGATACAGCTCGTACCAAATAAAACGCGGGTTCGTTCTGATTACGATTATTACAATGATTTTATTCATACAACTTTACTTTGCACTTTACTTTACACGACGGTTTCAATTCGCGATCTGATTCACAACTGACTAACTGCCTTCCCATTTCCTCTATTTATATGAGCCCTGTCTGTCGCTACAGAAGTTTCTAGACGATCTGGTAACACCTAGATCACGAACAATCTACCAATGCAACAAACACACATACAAACTTACATTGAGTAAACAATAACAACAACACATACAAACTTACATTGAGTAAACAATAACAACAACACATACAAACTTACATTGAGTAAACAATAACAACAACACATATACAGGCGAGGGGGTAACAAAGAAAGAGGAATTAAGCGATCATCAATGATGACGTTTAACAAGAATTGTACGTCAACAAAAAAATAGACAATGAAAGAGGAAATGGAAGGATGTAGAAAAATCTATACAGTAGTTGTTGTTGTGAAGTTATTCAAATAAACTGCGTAGTAGAAATTTACGTTACAATTCAAATTCTTAAATTAACGGAATTCATCTAAAGTAACTTAAATCTAAATTTATATTCGTAACATTGCCCCCCGCTTAAGCCTGTTCGTCCCGAATAGGCACAGTTCCCGTTCCGTAGGGGGTCAGCCGCTCCAAATGTACAACTTTCATCTTCGACCTGGGACTGTCGCTCCTCTGGATGCGATAAACGACGTCATTTATTTTCGTGACAATCTTGTAGGGTCCTTCCCAGTGCGTTTGCAATTTGGGGCATAGTCCTTTCTTTCGTTGTGGGTTGAACAATAGTACCAGTTGCCCTTCTTGAAACCCATCGGTATTTGCCGCTCGATCGTACCTTGCCTTCATGCGGTTGCTAACCATTTTTATTCGATGGCGAACTGCATCGTGGATTTTACTAAAAGAGTTCTGACTGTCTTCTTCTTGGTTGGGGTAGCACCGAATATCAAATCGCCAGGTAGCTTTAATTCATTTCCGAACAGAACTTTGGCTGGGGTCCGGGATGTGGAATCATGAATGGCCGATCTATAAGCCAGTAAAAACTTTGGAATATGCTCATCCCAGTCTCGTTGGCCACTGTCCACCACTTTCCGGAGATGTTCTCCACAATCAGATGGCATGGTGAATCTTTCCACCATGCCATCTGATTGTGGATGTAGAGGCGTCGTTCTGGTTTTCTTGATTCCGTAGGAGTCACACGTTTCCTTGAAGATCGCCGATTCAAAATTCCTAGCTTGATCGGAATGAACCTCAGATGGAACACCATAGCGACAAATCCAATTTTTGCTGAACACATCCACAATTGTCCTGGCTTCTTGATTTGGGATAGCATAAACCTCTGGCCATTTACTGAAGTAATCCATGACCACTAAGACATACCGGTTTCCAGAGTCGCTTGTTGGGAACGGTCCAGCTACATCCATTGCGATTCTTTCAAAAGGGGCTCCTGAATTATACTGCTGCATGTAGCCTCGACTCTTCCGTGTTGGACCTTTAGCTCTTATGCACCTTTCACAATTGGCGATCCAGTCGGCAATGGATTTTTGGCAGCCGACCCAGTAGAATCTCTGCTTTACCTTTTCAGCGGTTTTCAGCGGTCACTTGGCCCATCGTGAAACTCCGACAAGACATCTCTTATTTTGGAGTCTGGGACGACGATCAAGTTCCGGTGAGATTTACCGTCCTCACTTTCCCATTTGCGATATAGGCAACCATCTTTTATAAGCAGACTGTCCCACTGGGCCCAATAGGATTTTAAAAGAGGGCTTTCGGAGGTAATTTCTTTGCGACTAGGTCGCTTGCCCGTTTCTATGGCCGAAATTATTTTGCCCAGAATGGGATCCCCTCGTTGTTCCGTCGACCAATCTTCACCCGACTCAAACTGCAATAGCCGGACATCCACGATATTCTCCTTACACTCAGCCTTTGAGCAATGCCTGCATTCTACCTTGCATGGCCGACGAGACAGGGCATCAGCATTACCGTGCTTTCCGCCTTTTCGGTGCTCGATTCTGAAGTCATAACTCTGGAGCCTCTCGATCCAACGGGCTAGTCGACCTTCCGGATTCTTAAACTGCAGCAACCATTGGAGAGCAGCGTGGTCGGTCCTCAGCAGGAAATGCTGGCCATATAGGTATTTGTGGAAGTGTTTAACGCACTCAAGGACAGCAAGCAGCTCTCTCCTCGTCACACAGTAATTCCTCTCAGGCTTCGACAATGTCCGGCTGTAGTACCCGATGACTTTTTCCTGTCCGTCGATTTCCTGGGAAAGGACGCCACCGATGACGCACGCACTTGCGTCTGTGTCCAGAACAAACTTGCCGCCAGGTATAGGGTATGCCAAAATGGGGGCTCTGCATAGCATGTCTTTGAGCTTTCTGAATGCCTCCTCCTGGCCGTTGCCCCACTGAAACCTCTGGCCTTTTTGCGTCAAGCGGTGTAGACAGGCGGCGATGTTGGCAAAATTTTGGACAAATCGACGGTAGTATGTGCAGAGACCCAGAAAGCTTCGCAGCTCATGGAGATTTCGGGGCTGCGGCCAATCTCTGACGGCTTGAATTTTCTCCTGATCCGTCGATATGCCCTCCGGCGTCACGTGGTGCCCCAGGAACTTCACCTCTCGTTGGAAGAGACTGCACTTCTTTGGGTTTAACTTGAGGCCTGAAGATGAAAGCTGCTGTAGAACATCCTTTAAGTTCTTGATGTGTTCGTCGAAGTTGCGTCCCATGACTATGATGTCATCCAGGTATATTAGGCACGACTTCCACTGCAGCCCTTTTAACACACGCTCCATCAGCCTTTCAAATGTAGCCGGGGCGTTGCAGAGTCCGAATGGCATGACGTTGAACTGCCAGAGACCCCCATTAACGCCAAACGCTGTTTTCTCTTTATCTTTCTCGGCGATCTCTACTTGCCAGTACCCACTCTGCAGGTCGAGGGTGGAGAACCATGACGTCCCGGCTAATGTGTCCAATGTGTCGTCGATTCTTGGGAGCGGATAGCTGTCTTTCTTGCTGACATCATTCAACTTTCGGTAGTCCACACAAAATCGGGTGCTTCCGTCTTTCTTCTTGACCAAGACCACTGGGGAGCACCATGGACTTGACGATGGTTCTATTACACCACTCTTTTCCATTTCACTTATCAGCTTCTGGACCTCGTCTCTTTTCGCCAGGGGAACACTCCTTGGAGGTTGTTTAATGGGTCTCGCGTCTGCTGTATTGATTTCATGCTTCACCACTGATGTTCTTCCTTGGTGCTCTTTTGTCAACGCAAAGGTAGAGGCATATTTCCATAATAGCTGCTTAGCCTTGTTCCTCTCGGAAGGTGATAATTGGTGTGTCCACTCTTTTATGTAGCCGTCGAGGTGCTTCTTCTCCATGGCTGCTGGCTTTTCGGTGCTAGTTTCCAAATTAACTACAGCTTCAGCTGGTGTGCATTGTCCAACATCGGAAAATTGGCAAATTTGCTCTTGCTTGTTTGACAGGTTCAAAACTCTAACAGGAATTAATCCGTCCTTGTTGCTTTTCACCAGGGCATTCGCTATTAGGATGTTACTGTTTTTGTTTTCTGCTGGTTCCACCACCCACAACTTCTCGG